ATACTATATATACCAAATATAGATATTCCTCCAGAAAGTTGGAAAACTGTCAGTTTCTGAATATGTAGAATAAACGGAGCTTCTTCTTTCAAAATATTAAAATATATCTTATTCTTAAATCTTAAAAGCAGGAAAAGGATTTAAAACCTAAATTTTAATTGAACTCAATTAAAAAATTTAAACTCCAGCTTTAATAATTGTTATAATGTTAATATAGGGATGTTAAAAAAGGGCAAAAAGGAAGTGATTTATTGCCACAAACTCAAAATTGTAATCACTATATGATTATATCTTTGCAACATGAAGGTGTAAACCTATGATATTTCTGACAAAAATCATTTGATAAACAGAATTCATAATTTTAAATTGGGTTGCAAAGATATTGGGATTAGAAAATCAGAGCTTGTGGTAAAAAAATGTAAAAATTGAAATATTTGTTTTTTGACAAATATAACAGATATTATTATATTTACATTATAAGGGCTTTTCAAACATGTACATTTCAGATTTGTTGGTCAAGTTTTAAAAAGTTCGATTTTTTAAAACACCGATTGGCTTTTTGACCGTTCTTTACCCTTCCCTATTTATTCTAAAAAATTTAAAATCCTTTAGATTATTATTTCTTAAAATAAGTTCTAAGTTGAGCAAAAACTGGAATGTACTTCAGTTCCTTCAGTTTCAATAGAAGTAAATATTTCCATTTACAGTTTAGCGCCGATTAAAGGATACATCTGTAATTGGATGGTGAGTATAGATAGAGAAATAGATGTTACCGCCATGCGATTTCTATTGGTTCAGAAAAGACACCAAACACATGACTGAGCCCTGATTGGATCAGACGCTCATGGAATCGGCACACAAGTGTGAGTGGGGCTCCAGACAGCCTCCCAGCCCCCTTTTAACGGATTTAAGACTTCTCAAAAATGCAAATTGTGGGCCCACGGCCACACCACTATTTTAGGGTTAGAGGTGAAATTTTAGTTTGACAAATGAGATTGGATAAAATAAACATCTTGTATTGTGGGTTTAACCAGGAAGCATAACTTATATATGATAGGTTCCTTGTGTGAAAACTATTTAAATTCTGAACATAAATTTAGAGAGTTGCACAAAATCTTTAGAAAGTTTAAACCCCGACTTCTCCCCACCCCCTCTACTTCAGTCTCTACATAACATATTAATAAACTATGTTGTGATAGATGAAATTATACAAAACATTTTGATTGTAAATCCTTAGAATACTTAACTTTTCTTTTCTATTACATTCTTAAAATTATATGTCTGTAGATTCTAAAAGTTTATATAAAAAAAGCTAATTTTGGTTTAAATCCAATCAGCTAATGAAAATATTCCATCTACTTTTATATTTTAATTTCTTAATTTCCCCTCGAAATTCTTCCCCTCAACCTTTCCTATTACCAATACTTATTCCCCTTAAAACACAGATTGTAATCCCCATTCCCCTTCCTCCTACCCCTCCCTTTATTCTAGTTAAGGGGTGGGGGGGTTAATCCTGAATCCTGGAAAAACACCGGAACAACATCTTTATTAACACTTCTTGCTTTTTATCAAATAGTTGAGTTGTTTTTAAGGTATTTTTAGACCACACAATGTGGTGCATAAGCGTCAGAACTTGTAACCCTTGCAGTTTTTTTGTTATGCCGGACACCTAATTCCTATTTAGCAAGGATTAAAAATTAGGCTTCTTAAAAAAACTTTCAAACTTTAAACCTACAAAATTTTAATACATGATGATTGAAATAATTTTTCACGGAAAACACCGAGTCAAACTATTTTTGGCATTCACTTTTAGTAACATGGAAAAAGACTGGAAATCCCAGCAAAGATTTTAAAAAGTTTTTTCCTAAGAAACCATGAGCAATGATAATATGAGACAATAAGTAACCATCCGGCGTTGTTACAAACAAATGAAAGAAGTAACGACAAATTAGAATTTACTTTACAGGGAAAATTAAGTCACTTTTGACCGTTTTGGGTTGAATTCCCTCCTGCAACCCTTCTCAATCCATCTATTACGGATTGTTAAGCGAACAAAAGGTTTAATCAACGGAGTTTAAGAGTTTGACATTCCATTAGAGATTTCACCAAGTTTGGAAACCCCGTTGATATGTTTCAGAGTGTTTGGATACACAGTTATTGTGTTCTCAAGGGTTTTTGGATACTTAGATGGAATATATGGAAAATCTTTAAAAAACTTGGAAACCTTTATATTTACTGAGTTTACAAATTTGTTAAATTTCTACATTGTATATATTAATATCTACATTTGTATATATCATATATATATTTACAATATATAATATATATTCTGGATTTACTTAAGATATCCTAGAGAATGTTTGACAAGTCTATTCAGTTCCTGGAATTCTAAATAGGGTTCTATACCTAGACCTGATATATATACTTTACTAGAATGAGAACCCAACGTTGCCCAGGGTACTCATAGTTACTACTGCCGTTTACCCGCGCTTGGTCGTAACTTACGATTTTAGCTAAAAAAAGTGGACCCACTCAACTTAGAATCTCACAAAACCAAAATAAGAACATTCCCGTGGTTATCCCGAGTTCCCTAATCGGTCAAGGACTTCAAACAGCCAAACCGAGATTACAACTTTACACATATATATAGAATATAACCCTAATTTTACGNGGGTTGAATAAAAAACCGTTTGTTCAGAACTACCTTTTGTTCTAAATTTAATTCTTAGTAAAAGTTTTTGGAGAAATATTCGAATCTTCAAGTATTCAAGCTTTTAAAGAGATTTGATTTTTATGTAAATAAAATGTTTTAGTTTTTTTTATATTTTAAATGCAAAAATGGTGACGTCTCTTTTATATTTTATCCAGTCCTGACTTTACATCTAAACCACATTATATTCTGTCAGCTTTGTGACAAATTATTTGACTCATTTATCAAATAAAATTTCTCTTTTTATCCACTAATTGTTTCCCCGGGGTAATGAGAGTACGTTTTTGTGCTTTCCTCCTTTTCTTTTTCTTCCATTTTGACATATTTAAAAAAAAATTCTTCAGTTTTCTCTTTACTTTTATCTTTTTTTTCGAATTTTATTTATCTTTCCGGTTTCCAAATCAATTTTTTTCTATGACACTTCGTTTTAGCCAAATTGCTGTATTTATAGTGGTCAGCTTTTATACCAATACAATGAAGACAACTTTCTTCTTTAAGTTTTGATTTCTATAAATAAGCTTTCTTCAAGTTTCAAATAAACAAAGTGAAGCTGTTAATTGAAATCTTCTCTTTCTTTGATTTGTATGTGTATCCATACTTTTGAAACATTGGTAGAATTAAAAATTTAAATCAGAAGTCGTCTTCATTGTATTACTATGTACGACGACTACTGTTTCTGATTAATGATGGTTTTTAATTTTGATTTTACTGTAAAAGTGATTTGCTGGTTTATTCAGAAGAGATAAAGTTTAACCTTAACTTTTTTAGATTGAAAAAAATAGGTGGCAATGCAGAATACGTACACTCTCAGTTCAGCCGTATCTTCGTCACAAATGTCAACTCAGTTTTATGTGTCTGACAAAATTATTAATAATAGTGATAATTTTAGTGTTTAACTTACATTGAAATAAGTGCAATTTTATGTGATTTTTATTTTCTGTTTTTACATTTTTTTTTAATGTCTATCTTGACTAAATAAACGGGATATCGCTCGACATTTTAATTTGGATATATTACGCTAAAACATATTACAGAAATGTTTAATGACATATTCGGGGAGGTACGTCCTTTGTAGAGATTTTACTGTGGTTAAACCCCCAGATCCGGGGGAAATGCAGGCAACAAGAAAAGGTAGTTTCCTAGTGAAATGTCGTCTTCAAAGGATTTTAAATTTTTTTTCTGAAGTGTCGTATTTGACTAAATTTGGGAACACATTAAAAATATACAAAAATGCAAAAAAAAGTGCTGTAATGATCAAATTAATTGAAAAGTTATATATATGCATATTTGACATACATAAATGTAGGTAAACTGTCGTCTTCCTTGTTACATTTGACACTTGTGACGTCATGTATAATTGGTTCATTTCTCTGTTATCACCTATTGTACTTAATAATCTATTTGGATAGAACAGATATCTTTCTGGTTGTTAGTCTGGAGGGTAAAATGGGGTACACTTGAACTTCGTCGACAGCTCGTTCTTAAAGGGACTGTAAAGAAAAAATGAAAGGGGGTATAGGATAAAACCTGAGAACCTCAGGCGTTGAACGATACACATAAGACACATATCTGATGTTCCTGTCTCGAGAAATTGATATAAAACTGTGTCAAAATTATACAAAACTCTATCTATATATGAAATTTTGTATAAGAGTAGTAGGTTTAAACAGATCATATTCAGAAAATACGCAAACAATCTGAAAACGATTATATTCCACAGAAACTTGAGAATCTCAGGTTTGCTCCCATTATAATTTTTTAATTTTTATTTTGCATTTTTAATAGATATAATTGATTTGTACAATGTTTAAATTGTTGATATATTATTGTTTTCATTTAAGACAATTCTTTCAATATTTGATTTTTAACATGCTGATGTAAAGGGTTTTATTGCATTTCTGGAGAAGATAATAAATCATCTGATTTTAAAAATTAAATTTTTTAAGAAAAATCGAGCAATGTTAAAAATAATTGGTTTTATTTCGCTTGAATAAATTTATTCTCAATACATTTCACCTTTAAGCTCTGGAAAAACTTTTACTTAAAATAATTTACATACACCTATCTTTTTCACCTAAGTTGATTTCACAAAGCTTATTTTTGAATTAAAACTGCAACTTCTTAAGATTTATTTAAAATAATATTTTTTAGGATTTTATATTTTCTAAATCGTAGACTGGTTACGTACTTAAGTTAGGGGGAATTGGTTACTAACTCATAACTTTTAAAGCTTATAGATAATGTTTTTGTTTTATTTATTAAGTTTATACATTAAATAAAATTGTCAGTTTCGTTTATTTTTATTATTACGACATTTACATATTAAAAATTCCAATTTTTTATTTCATTTAATTTATTCTTTCCAGTACTTGAGGTTTATTCTTGGTATTTCAGCGGATTTGCAGGACACTCGCTTATTTATCTAAAAAAACTTAATTTTATTTTACTATTTATTCATAATATTTAATTAATTGGTGCCTAAAAATATCTTATCTTCAAAGTGTTTAGTGGTTAAATTATAAACTGTAATTTTGATATTATTTGATCGGTATCGTTTTTAGTTCCAGTCCAAAGGCACATCGTTTTTTGCCACAAAATCAGATTTTTTCAATCCCTTTTATCTTTTCAACCTTATGGAGTAAACCTTAAATATGTCAAACCGTACATTCTGTTAGAACAAGTAATTTGAGTTAAAAAATATCAAAGGTTTACTCTATCGGGTTGCAAAGATATATGGATAAGAAAAACAGTGTTTATGTTTGTTGATATAAAAATAATTGAAATTAACTTCGAAATTAATCAAAAATCCTTGAACAGTCCCTTTAAACTGATATCTTTGAATCCAGTGTGAACAAGGGTTGACAGTTCTGGAAGCTGACTGGGGAATATTTAAAGAGAAATCCTTCATCACATCCACTACCATGTTCCAATATAAATTCATTAGTTTTATCTTCTGCAGTTGCTGGGCTTCCACACAAACAGGTTTAGAACCTGTTTATAAACAAGTTTAAAACCTGTTTCTAAGTGTACACGTTTAAATCTGTTTTTAAACAAATTTAAACCCTGTTTAGAAACTAGGTTTTAAGTTTATAAACTAGTTTATAACCTGTTTATAGACATATTTAGAACCTGTTTATAAAAAGTTTAGAACCTGTTTATAAACAAGTTTAGAACCTGTTTATAAACTAGTTCAGAAACTGTTCATAAACTAGTTTAGAAACTTTATAGATACTAGTTTAGAACCTGTTTATAAACTAGTTTAGAACCTGTTTGTAAACAAGTTTAGAACCTGTTATAAACAAGTTTAGAACCTGTTTAGAAATTATTCTGGAACCCTTTAACCAACTAGTTTTGAAACCTTTTAAGAAACTTAGAAACAAAGTTTAAAATTCCGTTTAAAAAGCAGAAACTTTGTTTAGATTATAAACCTCTCTTTTTGCTGATTCAGAAACGGCCAGCAATTAAAAAAAACTAAATCAGGATTGAACACAAGCTAAAAAATAACTGATCACTTGCCACAAACTCTATTCTGCTAATACTTCTAACCAGAGATAAGAGAGTTACAGAGATTAATTGAAAGCTACGGTGGAAGGCGATAATATTAATATAATGAAGACGACTATTTCATTTAAGTTTTAATTGTTAACAAGCTTTTTTATAATAATTAAAGATAAGCTTTTTAAATCAACAGCTTCTCTCCCTTTCCATGATTTTGTGTGTCCCTGCTGTTTCAAAAGATTGATATAAATCAAAATTGAAATCGAAAGTCGTCTTCAATACATTGATATAATCGGCAACCACCGTAGGATATGCAAAATTTCCCAGAGCATGTTCTATTGTTTATGTTGTATGCAACAAATGAATGAAGATCACTGCAGTGAACCTGATGCTGTTGATAACTGACATTTTAAACTATAGATATGTTGGATCAAAGTGTCAAATTTTTTATACATAAAAGTGTTTCATCATAGCTAGTTAAAGGGAATCAAAACTTAGAGTGTGTGGCATGTGCTCAGTTGTAAAACCTTATAGTCTGGGAGTATCATGGCCCTAGGTTGAATTGTTTTCACGAGATTTGTATTATCACAGATAATTCTAGCCAATGATATCTTCCTGATCTCCTCTAACTGTTCAACTGTAAAACTACTGGGCCAACCAGAGTTTTCATACCAGAACCTGCAAAGTTCAAAATTAGGCAAATTAGCTCTACAAAAAAAGAACAAAAAACAGACCGTTTACCAAAAATCAGCAAAACTAAAAAAAACAATTATTTCTTCTTCACGGCCAGGAAGTAATTTGGGATTGTCAAAGTAGTTTTTAGTGACCTTTCATTGAACGAGTTACATGCCATGCATAAATATGCAAGAAACCATTATGAGAAACCACATTTTAAATGATCAATTTTCCAAAACAAAGATTTAAAATTTTTTTCGAAAACAGAGGTATTCAGGGTAACGTTGTGAATTGGACACAAAACGATTTAAAGGGAGTATTCACTCAAATGAAAGGGGGTATAGGCTTGCGTCGAAAAATATTCGATCCTAATTGCTACTACTTCTATCTGTTGCATCTGTAAGGAGAAAATAGTTAAAAACGACTCATATTCAGAAAGTTGCAACATTCGACTCGGATCGTAAAAATATCAATTTAATTCCAAACAAATCATTCAGAAGTAAGATTAGTAACAATCACCATTGAATATTTTTCGACGTAATCCTATATAAACCCCCTATCGTTTTTCGCAAACACTCCTTTTGAATAAAAAGTCAGTTCCGTTGACAGTCCCTTTTTTCTAAAAAAATGTAAAAATTGTTTCGTTTAAATGATACTAACCTGTCTCCAAATCTGATATTGTGGAACTGTCTACCGATTACACAGGATAGGGTTGGACCAATTAATCTATCTTGAAGAGGTATCTCACTAATACCAGCAGACCATAGTTCTAGATCCTAAACAGGGGCGTATAGAGGATAGGGTTGTACAAGTGCGTATACAGGACAGAGTTGGACCAGGGGCGTGTACAGCAAAGGGATGGACCTTGGTGTATACAAGATATGGTTGGACTAGGGGAATATCATACAGAAGAGGGATGGACCCGGGGCGTGAAATGCTTCTGTGATTCATGTTCATGTGACTACTTCTAAACACAACATTGTGTCTTAAAGTCGTCTTACTATTCCTCCGTTTAAATAGACCCACTGTATTAGTACACATTCATTTCCTTTACCTCTGGAGTTTCATATAGTTGAGAGTATGCTATGATGGTTTTATTTTGCATTACTCCGTAAAGATCGGTCCAGGAGAGGACTGGTTTCAATCCACAGAACTCTCTGTACCTGCAGATAGATTAAAACTTTCAGGGTTCAGATAGATGAACACTTTCAGGGTTCAGATAGATGAACACTTTCAGGGTTCAGATAGATGAACACTTTCAGGGTTCAGATAAATGAAAACCTACAAAATTTAGAAAAATAAAAACCTGCAAAGTTCAGATAAATGAAACCCTACGGAGTTCAGACAAATGAAACCCTACAGCGTTCAGATAAATGAAAACCTACAAATATTAGAAAAATGAAAACCTGCAAATTTTAGAAAAATGAAAACCTGCAGAGTTAAGATAAATAAATATCTGCAAAGTTCAGACAAATGAAACCCTACAAAGTTCAGATAAATGAAAACCTGCAAATTTTAGAAAAATGAAAACCTGCAGAGTTCAGATAAATGATATCTGCAGAGTTCAGATAAATACAAATCTGCAGAGTTTAGATAATTAAATATCTAAAAAGTTCAAATGAATAATAAAACCTGGAGAGTTCAGATAAGTAAATATTTGCAGAGTTCAGATAAATAAAAACCTGCAGAGTTCAGATAAATAAAAACATGCAGGGTTCAGATAAATGAATATTTGCAGAGTTCAGATAAATACAAATCTGCAGAGTTTAGATAATTAAATATTTGCAGAGTTCAGATAAATAAAAACCTGTAGAGTTCAGATAATGAAATATTTGCAGAGTTCAGATAAATAAAAACCTGCAGAGTTCAGATAAATAAAAACCTCCAGAGTTCAGATAAATGAAAACCTAAAGAGTTCAGATTATAAAAGCCTACAGAGTTCTGATAAATGAGAGTTCAAATTTTTGAATTTTTCATCTAAGATGTTCCTGTGAAAAGAATTGTTTGACTGATTTACCTTAAAATCTTTTCAGCGACGTATATGATAAAATGAAATTAGAAGAGGTTGATTTATTATTATTAGGAAAATCGTAGAAGCATTCTTATTGTTTGAGAGCATTACTTAAAAAAAAATATTTTTGGATCAGGATTTTAATACCTGTTATATGTTGGAAGTCCATGTTCTCTACCCCTCTGTAGATTTTAATACCTGTTATATGTTGGAAGTCCATGTTCTCTACCCCTCTGTAGATTTTAATACCTGTTATATGTTGGAAGTCCATGTTCTCTACCCCTCTGTAGATTTTAATACCTGTTATATGTTGGAAGTCCATGTTCTCTACCCCTCTGTAGATTCAAGGCTGCTAGATCCAAACCAAACCCTTCTCCTGGCATCTCAAACAAATGGTTTGTTACCTAGTTCAGCAACAATGTCAATAATTTTATATACATGAGCGTCACCCATGTTTTTCAACTGTTCAGTGCTGGGAACTTTAGAAAGGTGGATATCGAGATTAATGCTTGATCCTCTCTCTTTTTTTAATCTTGAGACTAACCTAATCTTTTGTTTGTATCCTTAAGACTGTATAAAATTTAACCAATCATAGAAGCCTATCAGAAGCCGGGAAATATGAATTTTTTCGCGCCATCTAATGAGAGTTTTCTCATTTGAAGAAAACTAATATACACAGAGACGGGCCGGAGGGATTCTCTAATAGAATTCTCTTAGAAGAAGGGGCGAGGATTCATAACAAATATCCAGTCTTCTATCTCTAGCAACACGAAAAAAAAGTTTTTAGAGTGAAAACTCGTGAATTGTCCAATTAGAACATTTCTGAACGGGGCATTTTTTTGGACGATTTAAATCTTAGAGTTGGACAAAATTAGGACTTTAAGACTTTTGAGATAATCTGAAATTATTTATAGTTTTTCATATTAAGGCTCTGCACTCAACACCTGAGTAGGTTACCATGCAAATATTTTGAAATATCCAAGGGTTGCAAAAATATAGCGATTTGGTTATCAGAGCTTGTGGCTCAAATGCTGAAATTAAATTCCTTTGTTAATAATTTGCACTTTTAAACCTTTCCATTACCTGACTAGTAACTCCATCATCCATAGCCTGTGCTACTTGATTTATCATCCCTAGTATATATGTGTCCGCCCAACCAGCTTTAAACAGATCATACGGTTGTAATATCATCTCGGAGAGTTTCTGGGTTCCTATAAACTTCTGACTCCCGCTCCAACGTTCTAAAAGATAAGATTACAATCTTTAAGAAATTTTCTTTGAACATTATTTCGAGAAGAACCAAAACAATTTTGTGAATGACAACACTTTTGCGAATAAACATAGATCAAGATGAAGAATTAATCCACACAAAAAAGTCTTGAGAATTTTTCGATTATTTGGTACTGATCAAGTCCATTAACATTATTTTAATATTAGAACTAGAAGAAAGAACAGTATTATTACGGTTTTCAGTTTTTACTCCAAAAATATGTTTCTTACACAAATTGTTATCTTAGTAATTAGTGATTCATCGATTAAAGAGTGCTATAGTCGATTCACAAAAATCCAATTTTTCTTCTAGAACTTCAGGGTCCGCAAGCTAGAAATTTTTAGTTTAAACAGGTCAATTATGAATCGCTTTTGGCGGTTTAGAGAAAGAGACACTTTGTATAAATCGCGATTAGTGTTTGGAGGGACAACTGTGCACGTGGAAGTAATTCATAGTGATCCTTCAGTTGTAGAGTAGGATCTCCGATTGCCAAAGGTACCCTTGAAAGCTTTGTCTATTAAGCATGAATTATATATTTATGTTATTAATTTTGAAAACTGATTATTTTCAACTTTGAACATTCTACAAAAGGGATTTGCATATTTCAATAATTTAGATTTCAGAATCAAATACTTTTCAAGCTAAAAAACGACGTTATCTTCCACATTATTGATCAGATAAAGGTTTTAAATATAGTTCTTTAGATAAGAGGTCACTTACAACTTCAACGAAAGTAAGTTTACCAACTAACGATGGAAGTAGAGAGTGGCCGAATCTGAAGGCAGCTGTTGTAAAACCGGCGGCCGCTGCTGGATTAATTGTCGGATCATATCCCTCGAAATATCCGTCCTTGTACAAGTTTAATCCATGCTCCAGTATCCCTGGTTTACCAAGAACAAGAGGAAGGAACTCCTGGAATGTGGGGGATCATATACACTATACAGGGTGTCTCAGTAAACATGGGGATCAAATTGAGCCTTTAAATCGTCTTAGATTTACGGGGCAATTATTCTAATGATACTAAAAACATACTCAAAGCAATACAACCCTAAGAAACGTTAGCACTATGGAGTTAAAAAAGAAGAATGTAAAACATTACTTTTTGAATCTTCTTTCCTTAGTTTTTTTATGATCCTTGCCTGGAACGTGATGTGCTGCTGAATAGCGGAGACAAGATGTTTAGTTTCCTGAATACAGCTTAGAGATGGACACATTCACTCTTTTCAAATAGAGATGGACACATTCACACTTTTTAAATAGAAATGGACACATTCACACTTTTCAAATAGAGATGGACACATTCACACTTTTTAAATAGAGATGGACACATTCACACTTTTTAAATAGAGATAAACACTTAAACACTTTTCCAATAGAGATGGACACATTCACACTTTTCAAATAGAGATGGTCACAATCAAACTTTTTAAATAGAGATGGACACATTCACACTTTTTAAATAGAAATGAACACATTCACACTTTTTAATAGAGATGGTCACACTCACACTTTTTAAATAGAGATGGTCATATTCACACTTTTTAAATAGAGATGGACACATTCACACTTTGTAAATAGAGATTGACACATTCACACTTTTTAAATAGAGATGGACACATTCACACTTTTTAAATAGAGATGGACACATTCACACTTTTCAAATAGAGATATTCACATTCACACTTCTTAAGTAGAGATGGACACATTCACACTTTTAAAATAGAGATGGACACATTCACACTTTTTAAATAGAGATGGACACATTCACACTTTTTAAATAAAGATGGTCACATTCAAACTTTTTAAATAGAGATGGAAACATTCACACTTTTTAAATAGAGATGGTCACATTCACACTTCTTAAATCGAGATGGTCACATTCACACTTCTTAAAATAGTGATGAACACATTCACACTTTTTAAATGGAGATGGACATATTCACTTTTTTTAAATAGAGATGGACACATTCACACTTTTAAAATAGAGATGTTCACATTCACATTTTTTGATTAGAGATGGTCACAGTTTAAAATGAAAATTTAAAAATTCAATCCTTGAATGCTACAAAGCTGAGGCTTGGGTTTGAAAATGTGGGAGTAATATTCACAAGCATATACCCGTTCCTTGTTTTAAAATAGAATGGAAGAAAGTTATATTCAACTCATTTAATTTAAACTCTTCTTTGTTTCTCTTTATTCATAAGTTTATAAACCAATTATTTAAATGAGTTGGTTAAACTTTAAGCAATGTTCTCTGTATGTAAATGTGGATCCGCAGTTTCAGTTTAAATTGCTCGTCGTAGAATAGTTTGAATAGAAGTAGTATAGAATATAAGAGCTATGAAAGCCAGATATAAGTGGAACCTTAATGAGGTTTGTCATTTGTTTACACAGTTAATATTTTCAAATATGGAAGTTTATAAAATTTCCTGACAACCAAATTTTTAAAAACTAAAGCCCATCCAAGTATGTAAAATAGAATATGATAAAACTGTAAAAAAGTTCTCAATTTCTTTTTAGAAAAAAATAGTTATTTTGGAAGACTTGAAAAAAATACATGTGATGTATTCAGATTTTAAAATTTTTTATTTGGTTTTTGTCATAAGACCAGGATACAAATATTAACGCTGTACAATCTATGATTATGTCAGTAACTATTAAGCAAAATGAAGCCTTGATTTGGAGAGGTTGGTGAACTACCTACCGTTGGTTCAAATCCGGAATCACTGATTCAAATCCTCACCAATCTTTAGCTATAAATCGGTGATTTTGGATTTGAACCGGTGTTAGGTAGTTCAACAACATCTCTTCAGACTCCAATTATTTATAATTCCGTCCAGGGGCTAAATTCATTGAATGTCGAGAATCAGTTGAACCACATTCGTACCACCGACTCAACTAGTTTTCTTGTGTTCCAGGTCAAGCTAATCTATTCTACATAGTTCACCAACTTCTCTTATTCATTAAATTTTGTCAACATAGTTTTATTTTATGTGTTTTTATACGTATCTATTATACCTGAAATATGATTTCATCTGTCCAATGTGGGTTTAATCTACCAAGCTCCTCTGCTATTCTATTATGTTCTCTAGAATAAATAAAAAAATGATCTCTTATTATACTATTTCAATCCTTTAAAAGGTGTTTTAGTGAAAAATAGATACAGACATTTACTCTACTTTCTTATACTTATTTTTCTGATATGATAATTTTCAAACATGCTAAATATTCAAATCCCTAAAAATCTTTTTAACAATATATTTTGAGATCAATATTTTTAAAACTGTAGTCAGATAATTTCTGAGAATTTTTTCTTCTGTATGTTCTATTAGAGGGGAAAAGTTGGCCTTTGAAGAATTCCAATTAAAGCTAATTCCTTCCTACACTCTATCTTATGTAGAGTAGGCATAATAAAATGGAGAAGTTAAAACATAGCTTTCATACACAGTTATAAACATAATGCATCATTAATTGAGACTGGATAAGGGCATACTTCTATTAATTACACAATGTACGTTCCCAATTCAATTGTAATTTTTTATCTTAGGTACTTTCCCAAAGGGTTTTCCCAAGTGGCAACTTCCTAACTGTTCAATTTCCGAAATGGCAACTTCCGAACTCTGTCCTGGCCGCAGGGCGCGGCCCTAATTGCAGCCTGCGGCACAACAGAAAACCTAACCTAACCTTTGGGAAGTTACCGCTTGGGAATTGGCACATTTGGGAAGTTTCTACTTGGGAAATAGTTACTTAAGGGAAGTAGCCCTTGGGAAAATCCTTTGGGAAAATACCTTTTTTTCAGACCTTTATATTCGGATTTCAAAATTACAAAGTATTTGTTTATATCATAGATAAATAAATAAACATAGATAGCTTATGTACGCAAAATCACCAAGAATTGTACAGTCCGCGAACTCATACTTCTAGGGGTCAATGTGTACTTCAATGATAAGCGGGATGGTTTGGTGTTTTAATGGATTTCATAATAGAGTGTAAAATAACTCCGGGAATGGAACTATTTGAACAACAATATTTCACTGAGCAATATATCATATTGACGAAAACTGAAGAAGGACATGAGAATTGGACTAAACTAACTTAAATTTCTCTCTACAGAACTCATGTACACCACAAGTACTCAATGACATAAGTACAGCAAATGTTCACAACCGACCTAGTTAATCTATATAATAGGAATATCTTTAAAACATCTCTGTTTTTTCAAAATCCACCTATGGTTACCTATAGGAGACCTCCTTATCTTAGGGATAAACTCATCCGAGCCAGAATTCCAGATCCTCCTAGAATGAGGCCAAAGAAAGAGGCTAATACCTGGTATGAAACCTTGTGGTTTAAATTGCCCAACTTGTCCCTACATAGAGCCTGGAACAGTTATACAATCCTCTAATACCAGCAAGAAGATTGAGATTATTGGAACTTTCAACTGCAAGACCAGAAATGTATTTTCCATCTCATAATCTGAGTTCTTTTCCCTTATGTCCATTTGACAGCCCAAATTTTTATTTTGAATAATCTTTTTGTTTGTTTATCTTCTTGTGATTTTTACATTTTTTTATTTTTTTTATCGATTTTGATGGTTATTATATCGTTAGAACTGACGAGGGTCAACCCGGACCGAAATATATTTTCAATAAATGTGGAACTAACATCTACTTTTTTACTCTACAGAGGTTTGGTCCATCACCATCACTGAATTTTAAATCATCTCTGTACATTTATATCTTTCAAGATGAAAAATGTCGTCTTATGCGCAATCTATCTTTATCTATGGTTTATTTCTAAAGTATTTAAGTTAAAATAAGTTTTTGGCTAAATAGTTTGAGATAAATGTATTTAATATCGCAGAAAAAATGAACCCAAAGAAAAAAAGAAAAATGATAAAAAATAACCATTTTCTGAGTTTATATTTTCCGGTTTTTCAAAAATTGCACCCTAAAGAAGATGAAAATACCTTATGAATAAAGTGTGGATTAAACAGAGAACTGTCTGTTCATTGACCCTAAATCATGAAGAGGAAATCTAACAAAGAGAGACACTCTCATCAGTCAAACATGAATAATTTATTAGAAACTTTAATCTCCAGGTTCAACAAAATCATTAAATAATTTACATTCTTCTCTGAATTAACAAAAAGGTGAATACTTTATTTTCCAGCTTTGAGCACCCATTCTTTAGTCTTGAAAGAAGCAGTCTAATGTGAAAAGAGTGAAAATTAAGAAATAAAAAGATTAATTCACTAACTTGAACTAAATAGAACGTTTACTAATTGTGACTCAAAGCTTTGTTAAAACTTGTTTTAAGGAAACAAAACATAATATTCTAACATTTTGAATTTACTGCAATACAAACAATGAAAATGTTGAGATATCATGAAAAGCAAATTGTTAAAAAATCCACAATTAATTATGGTATGTCTAACCAATCCCCCCTTTATGTTTGTTTACCTTGGGTCCCCAGTCTCAAAACAAAATATTTCTCCATTAGGTCTAAACAAGATTCAATAGAAATTAAGTTATTGAAAATAGACAGAATGTATACAAATGACATTACAAAATAAACAATAGATACTATACAATAGATAATAGACAGTAGACAATAAACAATAATTGACAATATACAATAGACAATAGAGAATAAACTATAGACAATAAAAAATAGACAATTTACAATACATGATAGACAATTTACAATACATGATAGACAATAGATATTAAATGATAATTAATAAATTATAGACAATATACCATAGACAATACACAATAAACACTAGAAAATAGACAATAAATAATAACAATAGACTATAGAAAATAAACAATAGACAACATACATTATACAATAGATGATGGACAATAGACATTATTAAATAGACAATAGGAAAAAAACATAGACAATAGCTAATAGACTATCGAAAAGAGGCAATGGATAATATAAACTAGACAATAATAAACAGACAATCAAAAATAGACATATAGACCATAGAAAATAGACAATAGACAATATACAATATACAAAGTACAATATACGATATACAATATACAATAAACAATAGACAGTAGACAGTAGACAGTAGACAATAGACAATAGACAATAGACAAAAACAATAGACAAAAGACAGTAGACATTAGACAGTAGAAAATATACAATAGACAATAGACAATAGACAGTAGACAATAGACAATAGACAATAGACAGTAGACAGTAGACTATAGACAATAGACAACAAATATTAGGCAATTGAAAATAGACAACAGACAAAAGACAAAAGACAATAGGAAATCGAAAATAGACAATATACATTAGACAATAGGCAATATAATAGGCAATATAATAGACAATATAAATTATACAATTTTTGTACAAAAACTTGAAAATTAGACATTTAACTGGTTCTCCAAAACAAAGCATTAATAACTTTGGAAAAAAAGGTTCTAACTTTTGACAATTACCCAGATCTCAATAATATTTATGTTTTGACTCTTTATTGAATATTAAGTTCATGGTTTTTCAATATTTCCTAATCCCAAGAACCCCAAAGTGGAAGTCAGAACTAGTATAGATATTTTTTAATCCCATTTTTTCACCGTTCTTTTCTTCCATTTTTTTAAAGTTTCATTCATATTTGCTTCCAAAGTTTCTCATTGCTTCCCTTCCCTGATATCTTCCTCCCATTACCTTTCAGGTCCTGTAATTTCTTCCAAAATAAAATCCGTTATTTCCTTTTCTTTTAAACCTGTATCCCCTCTCGACTCTTTGTTAACACTTTTCCAATCTTTGACCCCTTGCTCCGTTTTCCAAGTTTTTATATCATTCGGCACTGGCAGAATATAGTGTATTTATCACGAAATATTAATATAGGAGACTGAAATGATTTATTTATTAAATTGTGATCTGAGCTGAGAACTTTTGTATTGGATTCTCATAAACCCGATCGCTTGATCTCGATATCCACTGAGGGCACTTTTAATTCAAGGATCAATGCTTAATATCTTAATTTCAGTTCTTCCTACAGAGTAGGATTATCATGAGGGATTTTAATCTAAGATTAAATTAATCTGCAGATTAACAAAAGATCGAGATCAACCATTCATGTCAATATCCACAATGCATAAGTTTCCAGCTCTGAACATTTTAAACATATATTAGTTGAAATTGAATTGTTAAAAAATATTATTAATTATGTTAAGTTTGGCCATTTAATTTTTAAAATTTTTTCAGCTGTGTATTTTAATATCAAGAAATGCTTAATTGGCGTTGGTCTTTAAAAATCTTATAAACAGTTTAACTAGCTTTTAATACACTTTTATACTAATCTAAAATCAACAAATAAAAAAAATTGTTCTATATACCATAAGCCCTTCCTTGAAAAACATTGGTAACGTTTTCATCCTTCCTCCCTACACACATTTCAGACTTAAAGAATCAAATTTTAAACTTTTAAAAACTTTTCAAAATATTGTTAAAGTTAAGAAGTTGGTTCTTTGTTCTTTAATTCTCTTCCCTTGAATGCTCGCAGACGTCTGAAAATACAATGGCTTCGTAATTAACATAATTCAGAAAATCTGGTTTAAAAACTTTACTTTTCCGTTTCAGCAATTTAAAACCATTTTAAGGATTAGAAAAAATTTAATTCTGTAGAAAGATTTTTTCATCGCTTCAGGATACAAACCATCATCTCCGAACCCAAACCAAATAAGGGTTTGTTAGATTCCCTAAATAGATTCCCACAATTGCCCCCTCCTAGTTGACTTCCTAAAGTGGCTTTCAAAACATGGACTCCCATAATTGACTCCTATAATTGGCTTCTAAACTTGACTCTTGTAATTGGCTCCCATAAAAGATTCTCCATAATTGACTTCCAGTCCCAGGATTGGTTCCTACAATTGACTTCCAGTCCCAGGATTGGTTCGTACAATTGACTCCTTCCAGTCCAAGGATTGGTTCGAACAATTGACTTCCAGTCCAAGGATTGGTTCCTACAATTGACTTCCAGTCCAAGGATTGATTCCTACAATTGACTTCCAGTCCCAGGAATGTTTCCTACAATTGACTTCCAGTCCCAGGATTGTTTCCTACAATTGACTTACAGTGCCAGGATTGGTTCCTACAATTGACTTCCAGTCCAAGGATTGTTTCCTTCAATTGACTTCCAGTCCAAGGATTGATTCCTACAATCGACTTCCAGTCCCAGGATTGTTTCCTACAATTGACTTCCAGTCCCAGGATTGGTTCCTACAATTGACTTCCAGCCCCAGGATTGGTTCCTACAATTGACTTCCAGTCCCAGGATTGGTTCCTACAATTGACTTCCAGTCCCAGGATTTGTTCCTACAATTGACTCCTTCCAGTCCTAGGATTGTTTCCTACAAATGACTTCCAGCTACAGGATTGGTTCCTACAATTGACTTCCAGTCCCAGGATTGGTTCATACAATTGACTTCCAGTCCCAGGATTGGTTCCTACAATTGACTCCTTCCAGTCCAAGGATTGGTTCGTACAATTGACTTCCAGTCACAGGATTGGTTCCTACAATTGACTCCTTCCAGTCCAAGGATTGGTTCGTACAATTGACTTCCAGTCCCAGGATTGGTTCGTACAATTGACTTCCAGTCACAGGATTGGTTCCTACAATTGACTCCTTCCAGTCCAAGGATTGGTTCGTACAATTGACTTCCAGTCCCAGGATTGATTCGTACAATTGACTTCCAGTCACAGGATTGGTTCGTACAATTGACTTCCAGTCACAGGATTGGTTCGTACAATTGACTTCCAGCCCCAGGATTGGTTCCTACAGTTGACTTCCAGTCCCAGGATTGGTTTGTACAATTGACTTCCAGCCCCAGGATTGGTTCATACAATTGACTTCCAGTCCCAGGATTGGTTCCTACAATTGACTTCCAGCCACAGGATTGGTTCCTACAATTGACTTCCAGTCACAGGATTGGTTCGTACAATTGACTCCCAGCCCCAGGATTGGTTCGTACAATTGACTTCCAGTCACAGGATTGGTTCGTACAATTGACTTCCAGCCCCAGGATTGGTTCCTACAATTGACTCCTTTCAGTCCCAGGATTGGTTCGTACAATTGATTCCCAGCCCCAGGATTGGTTCGTACAATTGACTTCCAGTCACAGGATTGGTTCCTACAATTGACTTCCAGTCCCAGGATTGGTTCCTGCAATTGGCTCCCAAGTGTGACTCCAAGAATGTTTCGTACAATTGACTTCCAGTCACATGATTGTTTCCTACAGTTGACTCCCAAATTTGACTCCAAGAATGTTTTCCTCTGAGCTAAAATCAGTACTTTACCAAAATAATAGATTGAACCATTAATTTGATAGCTTTCGATTTATCCTTCACTACAAGCTTGCAGAACTTTAAATTTAAAGGTTAAGGATTGGTTCCTACAATTGACTCCTTCCAGTCCCAGGATTGGTTCGTGCAATTGACTTCCAGTCCCAGGATTGGTTCGTACAATTGACTTCCAGTCCCAGGATTGGTTCGTACAATTGACTCCCAGCCCCAGGATTGGTTCGTACAATTTACTTCCAGTCACAGGATTGGTTCGTACAATTGACTTCAAGTCCCAGGATTGGTTCGTACAATTGACTTCCAGTCCAAGGATTGTTTCCTACAATTGACTTCCAGCCACAGGATTGGTTCGTACAATTGACTTTATTATTTTAATTAAACACTAAACTAAAAAGCTACTATTTCCTTCCAATTTTGAAAAGAAATTGAGTCTTTGCAACAAACTCTGATTAGTTAATCCTAATATCTTTGCAACCCAATGTCGTAGACCTTAGATATGTCAACCTAGCTGTGAATTCTGTTAGATCAAAGATAAAGTTTAAGCTAAGTTTAAAATTTTGAGTTTGTGGCAAAGACTCAATTCCTTTTACCTTAGTCTTTCTGGAACATTTGAGTAAACTGTGCCGGCATCGATCACGGATGTTATCTGCACAAAAGCAAATTAAAAAAAAACAGAGCAATTGCAATTTACTTTTTTCATCCAAATGAAAGTCAATATTTTGCTATGAACTTAAACAAAATCTAAATATGTCCTGCACCAAGGATTACACCTCTAAATATGTCCTCTAACAATGATTATACCTCTAAATATGTACTCTAACAAGGATTATTCCTCTAAATATGTCCTCTAACAAGGATTACAACTCTAAATATGTCCTGCACCAAGGATTACACCTCTAAATATGTCCTATAACAAGGATTATACCTCTAAATATGTCCTATAACAAGGATTATTCCTCTAAATATGTGCTCTAACAAGGATTACACCTCTAAATATGTCCTATAACAAGGATTATACCTCTAAATATGTCATCTAACAAGGATTATTCCTCTAAATATGTCCTCTAACAAGGATTATACCTCTAAATATGTCCTCTAACAAGGATTACACCTCTCAATATGTCCTCTAACAAGAATTATCTTCTCAATATGTTCTCTAACAAGGATTATTCTTACAAGGATTACACCTCTAAATATGTCCTCTAACAAGGATTACACTTATAAATATGTCCTCTAACAAGGACTACACCTATAAATATGTCCTATAACAAGGATTACACTTATAAATATGTCCTCTAACAAGGATTACACCTCTAAATATGTCCTCTAACAAGGATTACAACTCTAAATATGTCCTCTAACAAGGATTACACCTATAAATATGTCCTCTAACAAGGATTACACCTCTAAATATGTCCTCAAACAAGGATTACACCTCTAAATATGTCCTCTAACAAGGATTACATCTATAAATATGTCTTTTAACAAGGATTACACCTATAAATATGTCCTCTAACAAGGACTACACCTATAAATATGTCCTCTAACAAGGATTACACTAATAAATATGTCCTCTAACAAGGATTACACCTCTAAATATGTCCTTTAACAAGGATTACAACTCTAAATATGTCCTCTAACAAGGATTAAAACTCTAAATATGTCCTCTAACAAGGACTACAACTCTAGATATGTCCTCTAACAAGGATTACACCTATAAATATGTCCTCTAACAAGGATTACACCTCTAAATATGTCCTCTAACAAGGATTACACTTATAAATATGTCCTCTAACAAGGATTACACCTCTCGAAAGGTAATAAATACATTTTGCTGGGGTGGAAAAAACTTTATTTAAAGTTACCTGATTAAATTGCTCCAGAGGGCCAAGCTTACATTCAGACCTGAATACAGACTTTGTTAAAACTCCAAAACTATATAAACTAAAAAAATAGTCTCAAAACTAAAAAATCAAATAAAAGATTGTCAAAATCTCTTCAGTAAAACTGATTTTAATCTTATCATAATTTTAGTGAGTATTATTTATGAAATATATAAATATATCTATATATATATGAAGAATCTCTGTTTGTCTGTTTGGGCCTTGAGTCTTGACTGATTTGCCTTAAATTTTGAAACTCAGGAGAACCAAGGGTTTGTTCTTTGATTGGTTTTAATAGTATCTAGATATATAACTTAGCTGGGGAACCCAGCTTTGCCAAAAAACTAAACACTTCCTATGAAAGTAACCCACTCGACTTCAAAAGTTAAAAGAAAGCAGCTAAGAACGTTCCCATGGGTCTACCAAGGTCCCGTGGTTCTACCAAGGTCCCGTGGGTCTACCAAGGTCCCGTGGGTCTACCAAGGTCCCGTGGGTCTACCAAGGTCCCGTGGGTCTACCAAGGTCCCGTGGGTCTACCAAGGTCCCGTGGGTCTACCAAGATCCCGTGGGTCTACCAAGGTCCCGTGGGTCTACCAAGGTCCCGTGGGTCTACCAAGGTCCCGTGGGTCTACCAAGGTCCCGTGGGTCTACCAAGGTCCCTGGGTCTACCAAGGTCCCGTGGGTCTACCAAGATCCCGTGGGTCAACCAAGGTCCCGTGGGTCTACCAAGGTCCCATGAGTCTACCAAGGTCCCGATCAAAATATTATGAAAATCTAGGGGTCAATGGACAGACAGTAAGTAGCAGTGTGTTGTATTTCAGGGTTACCCACAAAGGATGAGACTGTAAAGACGATCCAAAAACTCTGAAAATAGGACGATTTCAAGATTGATTTTTGGTTTCTGCATTCAATTAAGTATTAAAGATTTAATATATTATTAAGCACAGAAATAAGCCAGTTTCGGCCAATGAACCCATACAATTTCCGTACAATCGTCTCTGAAGTCTCATTGTTTATGGATAACCCTATATATACCTGAGACCAGCACTGGATCTAACAAAGTTCATACAGGTTCGAGAATGTTTGGAGAAAAAATGATCATCCTCGGGAATCTAAAATATAGTAAGTATAAATAATTTCGGTTTAAAAAGAACATTGTACAGTAAACAAAAAAGAGTGAAATGCATTTTTCTTTTGAAATGTCACAAAGGACTTTGTACTTTGTAACTTTTATTTTATGAATCTCGGAATTAAGCAATAATCTTCATATTATGCAGATCAACAGATAGTGGTCATACCCTGCAGGGAAAATATTAACTAAGGGATCAATCATTTATCTTCAAATCTAAATTTAATTTTTAGAAAGAAGGTGTAAAACATCTTTCCCTGGGATATTTAGAAAGATGAAAATTTTCCTGTACGATAATTGAAGGACTGCAGTATGGTTTTGGTGAATTTTGAATTTTGAACGGATGTCACAAAAGTGAAGGATCAGGTTTAATGTTAATCAGAAAACCATTTAATTGATTAAAGTTAAATCTTGGTTTATCAGTTCATGGATTTCACTATATTTGTAATCTTTGTTCATCAGTTCATGGATTCCACTATATTTGTAATCTTTGTTCATCAGTTCATGGATTCCACTATATTTGTAATCTTTGTTCATCAGTTCATGGATTCCACTATATTTGTAATCTTTGTTCATCAGTTCATGGATTCCACTATATTTGTCTAAGACTCTGTTCTATCTAAACTCTCAGCTAGATATTTAAAGGCTATTTAGAAGCTATTACAAACTAATTGTTATTGTAATGCTGAAACCCTTAAGCCCCTCTTTCCATATCCCCCTAAACCCCTCTCCTGCCAAGCTGTAGAACTGTGTCTGTTTATAGGAATAAATGTATTTAATTTAATTCTAAAGAAAGAGGATCTTCTGTGTAGAGCTGACTGGAGAATTGTTTGAACTCCGGCTCAACAAGATTTACGCTGTCACATACAAGTTCTTTTGAGCTACAAATACAAATTTAATTGACTGCTTTCAAATATCACATTCTCTCTCAACGTTTTGGGGCCAGAAATTAAAGAAGGGNTTTTTAAACTCGCTTTGTTCGAGACATTATTGAATAAAAAGTCTTAATGTCATTCGACTAGCCTTGTTAATCTTTTTGGTTCTTTTTTGTAGTTTGTATTTTGACCGTGAAAGAAAATTTACGCAAAAAACGAACGTTTTTATACGATCATTTTTTACTCCGTCTCCTTTTTTAGAATAGAAATATTGCTTATTATAATAAAAAGCGAAATTTGACAGAATACAATTTTAAATGTTTGAAGTTTTACTAAACTTTAACATGAATTAAACGGATGAACAACACTGCATTCGATAAATAAAAGAAAATGAATCTTTGCAGCATTTCCTCATATTCTAATTCCTATATTTTTGCAACCCAATTCCGTAGAACTTAGATATCTCAAACTATGAATTCTGATCAAATAATCTAATTTAGAAATATCTAAGGTTTTCACTATTAGACTTGAAAGATGTTGGGGTTAGAAAAAATGAGTTTGTTACAAAAACTCAAATCCTTTACAGACTCATTCTCCCCCCCCCCCCGCTTAAATCTATAAGCAGATACAAAAATGAATGTTATCAAGTAAAACAACCTTTCTACTTAACAAGAAATAAGTGGATTGATCCAAGTGATCGATGATGAAGATAAGAAAGGTGGACAAGTAGGGAGAGTCTATGATTGCAAGCTACCTGGAGACATCCGATCTGGGCATACAGATGATTGGGAGCAATGAGTGTTATGTTTCCTGTCTGTGTAAGGCACCCGGGCCTCATTTTAGTATATCAGAAGAATTCCTATTCTCAGGCCTAAGAAGCCCTTAGGCAGCTGGAATCTTGTCAACCCTCTTCTCAGAATGAATGAAGCGTTGATAGATTAATGTGCTGCCAGATTACATCCACTGGAAGATCAATATAAACCCAGACAACACCAATATTTCGCAATAGATCAATTCCGATATTTGATCGTAACAGCCCGATCATGTCCTGGGGACAAACAAATCTTTTTTAAAACAAAAAAGTTAAACATTACCAAAAAGATACTTTTTATTTTAAAAATAAAAGACCAAATTACAATTCCATAATTTTACTTTAAAATCGATTAATATTCTTGTCCTTAGTTGATAAGGCAGATTAGTGATATCAATTACATCGTTTGTTTTCTCTTTTTCATGTTTTGATTATTAGTTTACCTGTATGGGGAAACACATTGGATGAGTAACATTTACTCCTAAAATAGAAAAACAGATTAATAAACTAGTCATTATAGGACCTGTGAAGGTGTCTTTTCATTATAGGACCTGTAAAGGTGTCTACTCATTAAAGACCCTGTGAAGGTGACTACTCATTAAAGGACCAGTCAGCGAAGGAGTCTATTCTTAAAGAAAATGTAAGTGAAGGTTTCAATTCAGTTTAAGACCTATCAGTGAAGGTATCTATTCATTAAAGGGCCTATAAAGCAGTAAAGGTGTCTATTCTTAAAGAACCTGCGTCTAAATGTGTCTATTCTGAAAGGACCTGTAAGTTAAGGTGACTATTCATAAAGGACCTGTATGTGAAGGCGCATATTCATTATAGGACCTATAAGTGAAGGTGTCTATACTTAAAAAGACCCGTAAGTGATGTTGTCTTCTCAATAAAGGACCTATCAGTGCAGGTATCTATTCTGAAAGGACATACCTCAGCAAGAATCTATCAAGTAAATACTCTGCCCAGTGAAGGTATCTTTTTATTTAAGGACTTCCGACACGTGAATCTACTCATTAAAGGACCTACCTCTGCAACAATTTACATCTTTTTCTAATATATCATCTATTTCTGCAGTGAGTGTTATTTCATGATCTAAAAAGTTGAAAAAAATATTAAAAAAATAATTTTGAATGATCGAAAAATTTTTAACCTGATGATATTTTTGATAAAATTAATAATATTAATTTGGCACAAATTCCAAAAGAGAAGCTGACCCCAAGCTACCTGTAAACTGACCCCAAGCTACCTGTAAACTGACCCCAGGCTACCTGTAAACTGACCCCAAGCTACCTGTAAACTGACCCCAAGCTACCTGTAAACTGACCCCAAGCTACAAGAAGTATTGTTATCGAATGTTCATGAATGTTATCATCTCTATGTGTATGCGCTGACACCTAAAAAATCCGGTATTTTGTTTAGTCTCTTTTTGTATTCTATGGTTAAATTTGAAGTTTTAATATAAAAATTAAATATAATAAATGTAAGAAATACCAATCTTGCAGAAGGAAGTTCATTTCCTGTAACCTCAGCTCAATTCACAAAACATAGAAAAAGTATAATTTTGTAAAAAAAAATTTTCTGACAAAATCTTTAAATAAAGACATTTTTTGGATTTTTCCATGAAATATAAATTAATTAGATTTTTGATAAAAATGAAGTTGCTGATTGTTCCCTGACACTGCAATCCTAGGTTGCATTATTCCATCTGTATAATCATGAGGTAGAAATCTAAAACAATGAATATCTAAAATTGTAAAACAGACTGCTAACATGACCCCTCCCCCCTCTTTTTAAAAGAGTTGAATCCCTCATTCACAATGGTACCCGATCATCTTTATCTGAGAAACATTAAAGTATATATGTCAATTTTTTAGCAATAACAGGTTCCTTATGTGCCTCTCTTTTATAAATCCACAATTCACATACAAAGAAAAAAAGTACTCCAAAAAGTACTCCAAAGAAACCATTGGGAATCAGGCATGCTGCCATCGAAATAAACAGACGCTTGAAATCTAGTCGACAGTAAATTTAACTATACGTTAATTCCTCTCCACCCTGGGTACCTGAAGTGAGCAGTTTGCGCTGCTCCCCAGTGAGGGTTCTCCAGGTTGTTACAGACCCCCTCTAGACCTCTATATCTGGTCGGACTGCAGGATCTGAAGGTAAAATTTAAAAAGTGATTTTAACGTGTTTAATGCCGTTAAAAGTCCTTAAGATGGGCGCTTAGGAAAAGCACATTAAAAGACAGTTATAATAATCAATAATAATAATCAATTCCTTAATGTCAAACGATTTATAATATATTCGATATTTTAAATACAATCTGAAAATCTAATTGAAATAAATCAGAAAAAAACTAAAGTTCGATTAGCTCTTACAGAGCTTTAAAGCGTGTTTTTTTAAGTGATCCTAAAAGATAGCAAAGCCGTGTCAGAATTTAATGAATTTGATCCGCGTCTCAAATCCCCCAAAAACCGGTTTCAAATGAGCGCCGGTTTAAATCTTCAATAATTGTATACAATTTCAAGATTATCTTTGAACCCTGGCTTAAATTTAAGCCGCAGCTCAAATTATTTAAATTCGGCCTCCGGATTCACAAAAGGTACCCCTTAAAACATTGCATTATCTGACTAATAATGTGGAAGATACAACAATACTTGATGAGATAAAGGTTTCAATGGTACCGTTGTGAATTGGGAATTGCCATCTTAACATGAAGGGTACTTGAAATTACGCTTACAGTACTATTTAACATATGGCGATACATAATCTGGGACTAAAATCATCTTTGTCACCCTGTTATATTATTCTATACACAAGGGTTTTAAGCCAACTTTTTAATAAGGTTTTGTGGGCAAACCAAAGGAATAAGATTTAGAAAGTTAATTTTAGCCTCTATTGCTCAACAACACTTAGAGTATATATATATATACACACATATATATATTGGATAGCGGAATTTAGACAGAATAGGAGAGACAAGGGGTGAGGGTGAAAATTGGCTGCAAGGGAATTGAGGAAAAGTATAGCGGAATTTAGACAGAATAGGAGAGACAAGGGGTGAGGGTGAAAATTGTCTGCAAGGGGATTGTGGAAAAGGATAGCGGAATTAAAGAATTGGGAGGTGATTATAAAGGAGAGAGGTGGGGGCAAGGGAAATGCTGGTAATTGCATACATGGGATCGGGAACAAGTGGGATATATATAGATTGTAAGTTGAGGTTGCCAAAAATAAAGAAGGGAAAGTAACATTTTTGATATAGCACTGCATAACGAACATGCCAGTATCACAGCTACAGGGTGTCCCACTACAAGTAACAATTGAGAGACAACTAAAAGAACTGCTTTGAACTTTGATAACAGCATATCTAATGTATCAAACAAAGTTTGCATAGCTTTTCAGGAGGTACACAACTCACAAACCATCTACAATATATTTGTATCTATCTGTAGAGCTATAGAAAGAGGGTGAAATGAATGAGTTACAGGATTAAGGTTGATGAAAAGGGAAAATAAAAGAATTAAAGAACCAGGTGAAGAGCTAAATTTGTAGCTTATAAAGAATGGGTTGGAAGGATGAAAAAATGGTAGGAGGAAGAAGTATGTATATAACTTAGGAGGGTGACAGAGAAGGACAAGTATGATGAGGGGGGGGGGGGAGTGTTACCAGTGCAAGTTCTCTAGCAGTCTCGTATATTACTGTTCCAAGACGTCCAACCTCAGCATTAGTAAAGTTTACTCTGGTCGGGTACACTAGGCGTTCTCCCATTACTCGTTCTCTAGGTAGTTAGACATATTTAGACCTAGACCTAGACCTAGTCCTAGTCTTAGAGCTAGAGCTAGATTTAGACCTAGACCTAGACCTAGACCTTGACCTAGACCTAGACCTAGACCCAGACCTAGTGTTATATTTGATTTGAAAGGATACCCACAAAGGCGGGTAACAATACTCTAGTAGTCTTCAAGTTACACACCAATAATAGAACAAAGTAGTTGAACATTTATATTAAAGAGAAACAAAATGAAGGAATAAATAACTAAAGTCAAAAGACACAGATTTGGCACTCAGTGATGGGTTACTCCTTTGGCCAGATACTCCTTGGCTGGATACTCCTTTGGCTAGATACCTCCTTTGGCTAGATACTCCTTGGCTAGATACCTTCAACATGGTATCTCCTCAGGGCTGCGTATCTCCTCAGGCAACATATCTCCTCAGGCCAATTATCCCCTCAGGCAACATATCTCTTCTGGCACCATCCTTGTTCTGGTAACAAATCTCCTTCAGCATGTTGTTTTCCCACAGCTCCAATCCGTCCAAGCATTTTCTATTCCTTTGGACTGACTGCTTCTTACCACTGTGGGGAGTTGGCGAATGTCTTCATCCTCTCCTTGTGAGAGCTGGCGCACAACTGGCTTCTTTCTCTTTCCCTCTCTGTGTTCTGAACCCAGATCCCGCCAATTCTTAATCCTGGNGACCGTAGACCGTAGACCGTAGACCGTAGACCATAGACAGTAAACCGTAGACTGTAGACCGTAGACCGTAGACCGTAGACCGTAGACCGTAGACCGTAGACCGTAAACTGTAGACCATAGACTTTAGACCGTAGACCGAAGACTATATCCTATAGGCTGTAGACCGTAGATCGTAGACTGAAAACTGTAGACTTTAGATTGGAGACTGTAGACTGTAAACTGTAGACTGTAGACCGTAAACTTTTATGTTACTTATATCAAATGTAATTCTATGTTTTGTTATTATATATTTTGTTATTATATCGGTGTACACCGTACACCGACACCGTACACCTAGACCTAGACCTAGACCTAGACCTAGACCTAGACCTAAATCTAGCTACAATTACCTTGCTCTAAGAAACCCCTGGTTGACAGAAGTGTAGGTAATGCAAGTCTTCATTCCTGGTATGACTAGAAGCAACATGTATAATTAGATCAATGAACTGGAGTCATGGAACCTTTAAGTTCTTAATCTCACGCTAACCACCTTGAGCTTTTGCCACAAAACTCGAATTCTCTAATCCCTATATCTTTGCAATCTGATGTGTAAATCTTTGATATTTCAAACACAGATTATTTGATTTAATAGAATTTAAAGTTTGACATATCTAAGGACTAAGACATTGGGTTGCAAAGATATAGGGATAAGAATATCAGAGTTTGTGACAAAAACTGCAATTCCCTTATAGGCCAAGCATACAGAAACCTAACATTTTTTAAATTTAACCTTACCAAAGGCCAAATTTAATGGGTATACCTAGTAAAACGCTATCCTCATAAAACGCAAACAGACAAAACGCTACAAAAAAATTGCTATAAAATAAAAATATCATGATTTTGGTTTTAACTAAAAATTTGATTATAAATTATTATAATACAGAGCGTCCCATATCATATTAGATTATCAACAATCTTTAACGCCAAAATACGCACATAGACGCGAAAATACGCACATAGACGCCAAAATACGCACATAGACGCCAAAATACGCACATAGACGCGAAAATACGCACATAGACGCGAAAATACGCACATAGACGCCAAAAATCAAGCATTTTCTGCCAACAAAATTTTCATCAGCCTCATTAAATTTTTTTAAATGATTCATTCTTCTTAAATTTTCTTATTTGTCCCCCAAATCGTAATTTAGACCCATTGACGCGGTCTAATTTGATGTGGGACACCCTCTATTATATAATTATTATTTGATTATTATTAAGGTTTTGCTATCTGATTAGCTTAAAGATTTATCGCTTATCAAAAGGGTTGAAATTAACAAGTTTAGCTTATTTAAACCTTTTAGTTGGCAGGAATCTTAAATTTTCTTTCTTTAATACTGAATTACCATTTGAAACAAAGTATACAACATTAGAAAAAACGGGATAAAGTTGATAAAACTCCTTCAAGAAAATAAAAGGGTGAAGAACTCTAATTAATCCGATTAAAACAAAATCAATAGTTAAATAAACAAACAGAAAATTTCAGTTAGACTCAAAAAGTCAAAAGTTAAACTCAGAAAATACCTAAACAATTAAAGAGACCCCAGGAAATTCCAGAAAGCCCCAGAAAATTCTAGAGAACCCCAGAAAATTCCAGATAATCCCAGAAAATTCTAGATAACCCGAGAAAATTCCAGATAACCCAAGAAAATTCCAGATAACCCTAAAAAATTCCAGAGAGCCCCAGAAAATTCAAGACAAACCAAAGAACTATTTAAATAAAAATTCCGGATTGATTTACAAAAATTCCAGATAACCTCAGAACCTTGAAGGTTAAACGACAAATCTCCATATCGAATTCGAATTCTGAAAAAAATCAAGAAATTTCAGAATCAACCATGAAAATATCCAAGTAACACCATAAATTTTCAAATAAAACCAAGAAATTCTAAAGATCGGCTAAAAATAGAAGATAATCTGCAAGACAATTTCAGATCAAACCAGAAATTTCATATGAACCCAGAAAAAGTACAGAAAAATAGTAAAAAAAACTGGATTAAGAAGCTCAAAAGTATTCTGTAAAGTTTGAGATATTTGTGTTGACAAGGCGGGTCAAACTTTTTCAATTAGAAAGAATAAAATATTTTCTTTTAAAGGAATAGTGAAGATCAAAATTGAAGTAAAATTAATTGTGGATTTACTTTTATGCCTGGCCATTATGTCTCTTTTGTCAAAACCACAAAGCTTTTAGGGTCCCAAACGCAAGCTTTTTATAATCATTAAATTTGTTTTTCAAGTCGCTATTTTTTCAAGTTTTCTGTTTACATCGGCGAATTTTCAAAAAGATAAGATATAAACAGTTTGCACGGTCAAATATTTTATTTCGACCGGCCATGAACCTTCCTTATCTTAGGGTCATATGAGTTATCACAAAAAATTTGGCCTATTCAGTTTTCCTGTTTTTAAGATTATTGGATAAAAACAAACAGAAAATCGGAATCTATATAATCATAAATTAAATTATGCCCTTGCTTTTAAAGTTTAAGGCTTAAGAGTTCCAGGTCGTTTATTAAAGTTTCACATTTTTAATGGAACATAAAATATGCTACTGAAACTCTACTCAAAATATCGTATTTTCTCCTCTATAGTCAACTAAACATATATTTTGTAGATTGGATTGGACAGAAATATTATTTCTCATATATTTTACAAAGTTTTGAAACAGTTTTGAAGGGTTTTCATTTTCAACCCCTCTCCTATACAAACATTAAATATTAAAAACGTCTCGCAAGAATCCAATGAAAAGATAGATGGTGAGACATATATCTACATTATACAAAATATATCAAAATATTGATAGATAATGGATAAAAAATATGAATATACAGATACATAATTAATGGATTGATGATATAGGATAGATAGGATAGATAGGATAGACCGGATAGACAGGATAGACATGATAGACATGATAGACAGGATAGACAGGAAATACAGGATAGACATGATAGACAGGTTAGACAGGATAGACAGGATAGACAGGATAGACGGGATAGACAGGATAGACAGGATAGACAGGATAGACAGGATAGATAGGATAGACAGGATAGACAGGATATACAGGATATACAGGATAGACAGGATAGACAGGATAGACAGGATAGACAGGATATGGATAGACAGGATAGACAGTATAGACAGGATAGACAGGATAGACAGGATAGACAGGATAGACAGGATAGACAGGATAGACAGGATAGACAGATAAACAGGGTATACTGGATAGACTGGTATATGAAAATAGACAGGGTATACTGGATAGACTGGTATATGAAAATAGACAGGGTAGACAGGATAGACAGGGTATACTGGATAGACAGGATAGACAGGATAGACAGGATAGACAGGTATATGAAAATAGACAAAGCTAGATTAATATTCAAGAAAATGAAATCATCTAACTTTCTTGAATCAATAAATCATTGGATGGATGGAGGCCCAAAGAATAGAATTATTCAAAAATTTGATCTAAAGTTGAGACTAGGGGGGAATATCAATATTATCACAAATTTCACATTTCTTCACTTTGCACATCTGCAGAATATAATTGTGATAAAATAAGATAACAAACGCGATCTAGGATCGAAATTAATGAATTTGAGCTACGTTACTGAACCGTCAACTGCCGGTTCAAATTTGAATCACTGGTTCAAAGCCAAAGTATCGGGAAGGATTTGAGTAGATGAATCTAATTTCAACCGGCGGTAGAGCAGTTCAGTGGCCCCTCAAATTCATAAAATTCGGTCAGATATATTTTTCAAATCTTTAATAATATAAAAACATATAAATGCGTCAAAAAACATTTGTCCTTCTTGCATTATTTTTTTTTTTTTTGGGGAGGGGGGATATTTTTTTCTTGAAATCCCTCCTTTAATTAAAACCTAGCTTTACCTAAAGCACAGTCTGGATGTCCAAGCACTGTTTCTGTCTTGGGTTTTGAGGCCTGAAATATAATGTTTGGGTTTTGAGGCCTGAAATATAAATGTTTGGGTTTTGAGGACTGAATTAAAAATACTTGGATTTCATGACTACTCAAACCCACTTGTTTTGGGGGGGGGGTATACCCCCTTTATGGGGGGTATACCCCCTTACTATACTATGTTCAGACACCCAGCCTTTTCAGGTTTAAAATACAAAACATTTAATTTTTGTTCAGACATACTGAGATGGATGCGCTCGTGAGATTATCCTATCTACCTGAATCCGTTGACTGGGAAGATCAACAAAATTGCTAAACTCTCGTTTCACCCCTGGCAGATCGTCATGATCATGAAACCCTGGCAGACCATCATTATCATGAAACACTTGCAAATCATCATGATCATGAAACCCTGGCAGATCGTCATTATCATGAAACCCTGGCAGATCATCATGATCGTGAAACCCTTGCAGATCATCATGATCGTGAAACCCTTGCAGATCATCATGATCGTGAAACCCTTGCAGATCATCATGATCGTGAAACTTCAAGTAGAGAAGAATATCATTTTATTTTTAAAGAATCGCACAACTTTTTAATTGCATTTTTTTAATATTGTAAAAAATTGAAAAGCAAAATAAATTATTTCCATAAACAAAAAAAGGTACTTTTCTTCATTTTTTCAGGATCATTTTCTGATTTACAATAAACATAACTAAATTACGAAAAATGAACTTTTCAATGCCAACAGATGTAATCCTTCTCTCCCTGAATCGGATGACCACCACGTATATAAAGGATAAATAACCAAATCATGTATAATCTAAAAAATCTAGAAAGAATGAAATATGATTGTTTGAAGTCTCAGATTTCTGCATCAAAATATCAACAAATACAATATTTTTAAAAAGGTAAACAACCTTTGACAAGTTCTAAAAGTGAAATACACGTTCTAATGAAAATAAACAATCACAAAAAGTGTACTGCAGTATCTGGGAAGGAAATAAACAAACGCCAAGAGTTGCTGAGGGTGAGCTTTGTTTATATTCCACCCAGAAACTACAATTTACTTTTTTTGTAACCAAAGATATGGGATATATTACACATAGATACATTATACATTTGGGATTCATTATACATAGGGTGTATCTGCCTTGACATACATACATTATACATTTGGGGTACATTATACATAAGGTGTATCTGCCTTGACATACATACATTTTACATTTGGGGTACATTATACATAGGGTGTATCTGCCTTGACATACATACATTATACATTTGGGGTACAATGCATTATACATACAATATACAATGTACATACTGTGTTACCCGCAAAGGATGAGACTGTAAAGTAAACCTGAAACTCTTTAAGATATGACGATTCAAAAGTTAAGATAGTCTTCTGCCTTGAGTAAAGTCTTTTTTATGGTATTTTTTATGATTTCGCATTCGCTAAGATTGAAACAAGGTTAAGGTTGCAGAGAATAATAAATTTTAGGAGACAGACAGTATAAATTCCGAACAGTCGTCTCTGAAGTCTCATCCTTTGTGGGTAATCCGATACCAACAAAGGATGAGACTTCAGAGACGACTGTATGGAATTAATTCAATCTTGAATCTCTCATTCTTGATACAATCTTCATTCTCTCAATTCCATGAACTGTAAACTTTTAATTGTCAGATTAGTATAGTCTATCCGTAAGAGTTTATTTTCAATACAGGTTGATCTTTATAATTCTGGTCGTCACTTTTTAAACATTTTCGGTCGTCATTGTAGTTCATTCTTTGTGGTTAACCCTGTATTTAAATGAGTAAATGTAAGTTCAACGTTAGAAAGAAACTGATTTCCAGATTTCACCCGAGTGTAAATTTAACCTTATACCTTTTCCCACGCTATATAAGTTCTTTTTAATTAGAGGTAGGTACTTATACATTCAGGGGTATTAAAACGAAGTGTCCTCGAATAATGAAAGGGGGCATATGATCCGAGAGTTACTTTTATCCGAAAGTTACTTTTGATGCGAGAGTTACTTTTGAAAACATTTACTCCTGTTTCTAGGATTTTTGATAATGAAGACGACATTTTCATATTTTTCAGGAATGTTCGAAAATCCAGCGCAAATTTGTATGGACGCTATAACGTTCTTCGGTATGAGTTGTTTTTAAGAATGTTCTCCTTATAGACGAGCCAGATAGAAGTAAGATTAGTAGCGATCATCATCAATAATTTTTCACTGAAAGCCTATACCCCCTTTCATTTTTCGCGAACACTCCCATTAGTAAAAATAATTTTCTTTCCTTTTTGATTTCATAATGGAATACTGATGCAACAGTCTGAAAATACCTCCATTATATATTGTACAGAATGGATCTGTGTGTGTGTGTGTATAATGGTAAATGGAGGATTAATGCAACAGTCTGAAAATACCTCCATTATATATTGTACGGAATGGATCTGTGTGTGTGTGTATAATGTAAAATGGAGGATTAATGCAACAGTCTGAAAATACCTCCATTATATGTTGTACAGAATGGATCTGTGTGTGTGTGTGTATAATGGTAAATGGAGGATTAATGCAACAGTCTGAAAATACCTCCATTTATATTGTACTAGATGGATCTGTGTGTGTGAGTATAATGTAAAATGGAGGATTAATGCAACAGTCTGAAAATACCTCCATTATATGTTGTACAGAATGGATCTGTGTGTGTGTGTATAATGTAAAATGGAGGACTGATGCAACAGTCTGAAAATATGTCTAATCAGCAGAAAACTTTAAAGAGCTGATACTGAATAGGATAAAAGGAAGAGGGAGAGGGGGAAGTGTAGGGGGTCAATTTGGTAATGACAATTTGGTAATGACAATTTGGTAATGACAATTTGGTAATGACAATTTGGTAAGGTGAAAATTTGGTAACGACAGAAAAGTGACAATTTGGTAATGACAAATTGGTAACAACAAAAAAGTGACAATTTGGTAACGTCATAAAAGTGACAATTTGGTAAACGAAATAAAAGTGACAATTTGGTAATAACAATTTGGTAACGTCATAAAATTGACAATTTGGTAAACGAAATAAAAGTGACATTATGTAAAATTGTTTAATTTTTAGTTTTATATTCAATTGAAGATAATTGATTCTAGGAATCTTTTATTTCTGCACAAAAGAAATGCGCCAAAAATAATTGTAAAATTTGCAATATTTTCTAAAAACCACGTTTCAACCTGCACTTGTGTCATATACTGCAAGAAGAGGAGACTTGGATCATGAATTACTTATTCATCACCCCTTCTAGGGGTGGCAAAATGTTACAAGATTGAAAAGGATTTAAATACTACAACAAGAACGGACTTTATGTATGTTAATGTTAGGAAGTTATTAATGTTACTTTTTATGTAGTGCTTGGCCCCCCTAGCCCATCCTAGCCGCAGCGCTCGGCCCAGAAATTGTCTTAACCTAACCTAACCCAAAATAATGTAAGAAACAGCACATTATTTAACATTTAATAGCCCGCAGCGATCGGCCCCTAGCCCACCCTAGCCGCAGCTCTCGGCCCATAAATTGTCTTAACCTAACCCAAAGTATTGAGAGAGACAGCACATAATTTAACATTTATTAGGCCGCGGCACTTGGCCCCCTAGCCCATTCTAGCCGCAGCGCTCGGCCCAGAAATTGTCTTAACCTAACCTAACCCAAAATAATGAGAGAAACAGCACATTATTAAACTTTTAATAGGCCGCAGCGCTCGGCCCCCTAGCCCATCCTAGCCGCAGCAATCGGCCCTGAAATTATCTTAATCTTACCTAACCCTAAATAATGAGAGAAACAGGACATTATTTAACGTTTAATAGGCCGCAGCGCTCGGCCCTCTAGCCCATCCTAGCCGAAGCGCTCGGCCCAGAAATTGTCTTAACCTAACCTAACCCTAAATAATGAGAGAAACAGCACATCATTAAACTTTTAATAGGCCGTAGCGCTCGGCCCCCTAGCCCATTTTTGCCGCAGCGCTCGGCCCAGAAATTGTCTTAACCTAAACCTAACCCTAAATAATGCGATAAACAGCAAATTATTAAACATTAAATTGAATTAAATTTAACTTTTATCAACAAATTATCACTTTTTTAAAGTTACCATATTGTCATTACCAAATTGTCACTTTTTTGTTGTTACATAATTTGTCATTACCAAATTGTCACTTTTATGACGTTACCAAATTGTCATTACTAAATTGTCACTTTTATGACGTCACCAAATTGTCATTACCAAATTGTCACTTTTGTGAGCTTACCAAATTGTCGTTACCAAATTGTCACCTTACCAAACTGTTATTACCAAACTGGCATTACCAAATTGTCACTTTTATGACGTTACCAAATTGTCACTTTTGTGAGCTTACCAAATTGTCATTACCAAATTGTCATTACCAAATTGTCATTACCAAATTGTCATTACCAAATTGACATTACCAAAAATCCGCCCGTCCAGGATAGACTGGATAAACAGGATAGACTGGATAGACAGGATAGACAGGATAGACTGGATAGACAGGATAGACAGTCATATGTGCGATTTAACGTCATAACTACCTAAAAATAACAATTTTAGTGATCAAAAATGTTGTGAAGTTAAGTTGTGAAGGAGAGGTCCAAGATATATACCGGAAGTGAAGGGAGGCCTAGGGAGGACGGTATAGGAAGGAGGACCTCTATATATATATGTAGAATGGTTTTGGCTCATATCAGAGATTCATTTATCTTCAAGCTAGTTGCCCCTCCCTTTCCCCCCTCCCCTCCAGAATAGGGAAGAAAACAAACATACTCATATTTGGATATAATTTTGAAAGCAGGAACTGGAAAGTTAAGGGATTATATTAAGAGAATGAAGATATTAGGATAAGAAATGAAGAACGAGCATTAAAAACATTGTGGAAGGAAATTATTGGAAACTTGGAGCCAAACTGAGCAGAAAAACCAAATCGGAGATCAAACACAAATATTGAAAATATTAAAATCAGGGAAACATAAATCATAAACAAACTACAAAATTAAATTCAAAATCATAGTTAAAAAGCTAGCTGACAGGAATACATTTTTACTTTAAGAGAAAAGACAACTCATAGTAAAAAATAATATAAATTATCTTAAACATTTTTCCAACCCTTTTTTGACATTTAAAAAAAAATCTCCCTGGCACCACGCATATGCACTATGCAGCCCTATACCTATACTCTAAAGCCTTTTTTAGGAAGGGGGGGGGGCGTGGGACTCCCCACCCCCTCCAGCATTTATAGGGTTTAACTTAATTAAAAAGCAAATTATCAAAGGCAAATAATATCTTTAAAGAAACCAACAGGAATTTTCACTTATTAATTTATTTTTCTTGAACAGTGAAGAATTTAGAAGAAAATGGTGTATGCTAAAATTGAGGGTTAAAAGGGATATAGAGGAGGGCTGGATAAGTTAGTATGTAGCAAGCAGACATCCTTATAGTCAATATAAGATTCTATATGGATTTATAGTCAATAAAATACAGTCCGAACTAGGAACACTGCTTGAGGGAAACTAGAATGAGGAAGGGGTAGGGATGGAAAACAGACTGGAGAGTTTTTTTTACAAATTTATTTTTTTAATACAGATTATTAAAATATAGTAAATTTCACATAATATCATCAAACACACTGAAGAGTTCAAAGTGTATT